TGCAAAACAAGGCCCAAAACGTTTCCAGATTCCGTGGGTCATTTTCGGGCTCCATTTTGACCATCTTAGGCTTCGAATTAGGAGATGCACATTAGTGAGACATTTGTAGCTTTTTCTCTTAGCTTTCCAACGCCACTAAGATTGCTCAATTCGGAGTCCTGTAGCTCCAGATATGGCCAAAACACCGAGCAAAGGTCAAACTGTCCAGAAACAGAAATTTGATTAGTTTTGCAATTAAGCCCATAATTCAAATGACAATTAGCAAACATGATAAAACCACGAAATTAACCCTAAATGTGAGAAGTAATCAATGCCATAATGATATGAATTGAAGCACTAAATTACGGCTCATCAATAGTGTAGATGTCTTGTATATATATATATAACAGATGTACCCTGATTATTGTAGGGTTATCTCTGTCTACACTAGTATTGTCCATTTTGGGCCCAAATCCACACTAGTGAGTTCTTGAGGCAAGTTGGGTTGAAGCAATTGTAGGATTCAGAGATAGTGAAGGTTCTTGGGTTGCTGGGCACTGACAAGGCAGTTGGTTTTGAGCTGGGCGGAGACGGAATCTTGAGGTTTAAGGGCAGAATTTGTCTACCTCATGATTCTGAGCTGAAGAAAGCAGTTTTGGAGGAAGGCCACAAGAGTAGACTTAGCATACATCCTTGTATGACTAAAATGTACCAAGACCTCAAGAAGACTTTCTAGTGGTCTGGTATGAAGAAGGACATAGTTGAATATGTGGTGGCTTGTCTGACTTGTCAGAAGGCAAAGGTGGAGCATCAGAAGCCGAGTGGTTTGTTGCAACTGATGGAGATTCTAGAGTGGAAATGGGATAGTATCACTATGGATTTCATTATGGGATTGCCTAGATCGGCTAGGATTAATGATGCTATCTGGGGGATTGTTGATCAGTTGACCAAGTGTGCACATTTCTTGCCTGTCAATATCAAGTGGTCATTGGAGAAGTTGACGCATTTGTATGTGAGGGAAATAGTACGGTTGTACGGGGTGCCTTCCAGTATTGTTTCAGACAGAGATCCGGGGTTCACTTCCATATTTTGGCAGAGTCTACATAAAGCCTTAGGCACTAAGTTGAGGTTGAGTTCTGCTTACCATCCACAGACGGATGGTCAGTCAGAGGACAATCCAATCCTTGGAGGATTTGCCAAGGGCTTGTGTGTTAGACCACTTGGGGAGCTGGGAAGAAGTCCTACCACTGGTTGAGTTCACGTACAATAATAGCTTTCATGCTAGTATTGGGATGGTGTCGTTTGAAGCCCTGTATGGTAGGAGGTGTAGGACTCCTCTGTGTTGGTATCAAGATGGTGAGTCAGTGGTTGTGGGGCCGAGTTTGATCCTATAAACTACTGAGAAGGTGAAGCTGATTCAGGAGAGGATGAAGATTGCTCAGAGTAGGCAGAAATCATATGCTGATAAAAGGCGAAAGCCTTTGGAGTTTGCTGAAGGGGAACATGTGTTTCTGAAGGTGACCCCAACCTTTAGTGTGGGAAGGGCACTGAGGGCAAAGAAGTTGACACCCAGGTTTGTCGGTCCCTATCAGATCATCCATCGTGTGGGTCCGATTGCTTATCGGTTGGCCTTGCCACCGTTTCTCTCCAACCTGCACGATGTGTTTCATGTATCCCAACTGAGGAAGTATGTTCATGACCCCAGTCATGTGGTTGAGTTGGATGAAGTTAGGGTGAAGGAGTGATGGAACTACTTGGAGAAGATTGATGTTCTTCAAGTTGAACCATGCTAAGTCCCTTCTTCTCTAGAGGTTCTTCACGTCAATGGAAGATTTGGATGAGTTCAAGCTTCAAAAGCTTGAAGATGCTTCTCAAGGTGGTTCGGTTTCTCTTGAAGGAGAGAAACTTGAGGAACCAAACACAAAGGAGAAGTTCCTTTGTGAAGCTTCTAGGAGAAAGAGATTCTCCACGAAATTAGACTCTTGAAAATGAGAGAGAATTCTGAATTCTATTTCTCAAAATATGTCAAAAGTGATTACAAGAGTAGAAATTACAAATATATAGAGGTAGGTAGCTTAAGGAGCAAGCTAACCTTAACCATGGTTCACTAGGAACCATGGTAAGGTTAGTTGACCTTCTAGGTAAGTTTAGAAACTTGTGGAGCAAGCTTTTCACTTAGCTTGCTTAGGAAGCAAGCTAAGGAGAAGCTTGTAGCACAAGCTTCTCAACTCCTTGAGAAGTAGAGAAGCAATTTTGGCCAAAGGAGAAGTTAGGCAAGATGGGCGGCCATGTGTCATTTTGCTCACTTTGATTATTTTAAAAATGTTTGATTTGGTTTAGTTAGGTTCATCCAATGATGATGAAACCTAGCTAAATCAAATCTATGAAAAATTAGGAGCAAAATGAATCCGATATGTAAAATTTTGCCTAAGCCCAATTCTGGCCCAATTACTAGTTACACCCTCAAGTATTGCTAAATGTCACCCCTCTTTTCCTACTGAAAAAAATACAAAATGAGTGTATCAACAAATGAGGTTAAATGGAGTCAAACTCTCCAAGTAACCCACCCTAGAATCAATATACAATGACTAATAAAAGAAACTAAAGTTCCTCACAAATACAAAGGCAAAAATAAGCCTATACAAGAGAACTATGTACAAGATATTTACAACTAGAACTATGCCTTCTCTTCATGATAGAGTGGTCCAAATTGAAGAGTACCTTGGGCTTGGAAAGCACACTGGTCTTCAAGGTGTCCATTGGTCTTCAAGGTTGCCATAGCTCTAGTGATTGGGCCCTTGGCCCATGGTCCATCATCCCATTCCTCTTGGTTCCTTCAATGTATCACCTCTTGGATTCCTTGGCCTTGGCCATAGTCTATCAAGGAGAACCTGACTTATGAGAAGTTTTCTGTAGCTGTGGTTGATTACAAGATGAAGGAGTTGAGAGGCAAGTCTATTGGCTTGGTGAAAGTGTTGTGGGATGCAGCTACTGGTGAGGCTACTTGGGAAGTTGAGCAGTAGTGCAGAGAGCAATATCCTTCCTTATTCCCAAGTGAGTCTATTTTCGGGGATGAAAATTCCTGTTTTTGAGGAGGTTGTGAGACCCACAACCCACTCCCTCCTTTCTCTTTTCCCTTCACTTCCATTCTCTTCTCACTTTGCTTGGTTGATTCTCAATCTTTGGTGTTCTAGGTGCTGAGGAGTGTTGAGGACTAGCTGAGGGCGCGTGCTTCTTTTCTCTCCTCTCAATTCTCTTCTTCTTCTTCTCCTCCACTTTCCCAGAAGCTCAAAATTCTTCTCCTCCGAGGTAAGGGAAGCTAGATTCGTGCAGGTTGTTTGGAAGTGAGTTTAGGAACTCACATGTTGTTTGATTTTTGGAAAATGATGGTCCGATCTGAAGGAAATGGTGTTTTGGGGTTTTGGGAAAAATGAGAATTTTTGAGTGTTGATGGTTGCATGTTGAAAAAGTGGTGATTTTTGAGCTGTATGAGGTAAATGTGGTTCATTTGATGGATTGCATGTGCTTGAGCTGTTTGATTTTGCAGGTTTTGAGTGAAATTTTTGAAGTTTGAGGGTTGCTGTGTGATAGTCCGCCGAGAGTAGTTATTGGTGCCAGACGTGTGTTCATCAGAGAGTTCCATTGGTCAAGCACGCCAGGCGCAAGGCTAGTTGCATCGGGCGAGCTTGGGGATGGAGGCCCCTGGATAGCTCACGCCGGGCGTGGAAGAATCGCGGTGGACATGATATCAGATAGTGACTCAACATTTTGGGGTACTGGCATAGCGCTGGGCGTGATTCAATCTCGTCGGGCGTAGAGACTCCATGGGAGTCTCTGCCAGGGGTGGCGCCAGACGCAATTGGTATTACGTCGGGCGTGAGACCTTGGGAAGGTCTTTGCCTTACTTGCGCCAAGCGCGGGTTTGATACGCCAGGCTTGTGAGACTCTTGAGAGTCTCTGCCTTCTATTGCACCGGGCGTAATTGGAATTAAGTCGGGCGCGTAAGAGCTTTGAAGCTCTCTGGTTGGTTTAGGTCGGGCGCAAACTCTATTGCGTCGGGCGCGGATGTGTTCTTTCATATTTATGCTGATTAATGTTGATTTATGCTGATTAATGCTGATTTATGTTGTATGATGTAAAGTTGAACCGTGTTGTATGATGCTTTTACTGATTAATGTTGTTGAGCCGAGTTGGGTTGTATGCTATCTAAGTTGTTAATGCTATTATGTTGTGTTGTGCTGAGTGTTGAATATGTTGTTTATAATAGATAAGCTGTTGTAGGCCGTAAGGCTGAGCTGTTATAGGCCGTAAAGTTGAGCTGTTAAATCACTAAAAATAGAGGAGATCTCCTAAATGAAATGCTTGACGACGCATAAGCTATATCCTTGTTAACTTTGCTGAAATTGATGATGTGTTGTTAAGTTGAAACTATTTATAATTTCCATATATGCTGATTCTTTTCACTAGCTTACCCTTATCTGTTTCCATGTGGATTGGACTGCTACGATCATACTATGTATGGGAGCAGAGCAAGGATAGGCTGGAGTATAGTAACAGGCATGTAGCTGTCAGATGGAGCTGATGTTTTGTTGTTATGGCTACTTAGTGTAGTTAGGCTGATGTTTTTGTATATTAACATGTTGAGCCCCCAGGCTAGACCTAAGTGTATATATATTTTCTATTTATATGCATACTCTATTCTGTGTGGTGTTGTTGTTGGGCGACGGCTAGGCGGGTTGTTACACTCATAAGCTTCAAGTGACCCCATCAACTTTGTTACTGATAAGGTAGATAGATCTTTTGTTTGCTCAATCGTTGTCACAATTGGATCATATTTACGGGGAACACTAATTAGAATTTTCTCCACAATTTTCTTGTCAAGAATATTTTCCCCGTACGCTCTCATTTGGTTAACTATTTCTTTTATCTTAGAATAGTAGTCCTTTACAGTCTCAGATTCCTTCATATATAATAATTCAAAGTTACGCCGTACAATTTGTAATTTTATGGCACGTACCTTTTCACTTCCTTTGAACTCCTCCTGCAGCGTAGTCCATGCTTCTTTGGCTGTTGTTGCACCCATTATTCTCAGAAAAATTGTGTCGGTCACAACTTGTTGCAAAATGAATAACGCCTTTGAATTCTTTTGTTTGTTCTCTTTCAACTCCTTTTTTTGAGCCGCAGTAAGGGATGCAGTGTCTTTTGGAGTAGAAAATCCTTCTTCTATCGTGTCCCATAAATCTTGGAAGGTTAAATATGTCTTCATTTTTGTACTGCAAAAATCATAATTTTCACCATTAAAAATGGGAATAGGGATAGATGATGGTTGAATGGTGTTAGCCATGGATTAGAATTTGTTTTTCGAAAGTGGGTAGAATATTGGGAAATTTTTTTTGGAAGTAGTGGGGTAATATTTCTACGCCCAGTAGATGACCGAACGTAGCTCTGGTACCACAGTTAGTTTATGAATTATCAAATAGTAAAAACTTATTTGATTGGTAGAAGGAATGAGGAGGAAAATTTATAATGATAGGCTTAGTTGAGAGGAAAACTAGCTTAGAGGAATAGTTGGAATAGATTTGAGTAGTGGAAATGACTTACTAGTTGCTTGGTATACAAATGTTGGGTACATGGCCTATTTATAGGCCTCACCACCACATTCATGTTTTATGTAGAAAATTCTAGAGATATCTATTTCTAGAGTTTTCTATCTAATTATCTACATGATTCTAGAATTTGTATCTAGTAGTTACTAGCATACCTATGTATTTTTCTATAAGAATCTAGATTATTCTAGAAGTTTTATCATATTTTAACATTTTCTCTCTATGATTGCAACACACCGTGCACAGAATCCCAACACAATTTTCCTTGACGCGTTCTGACGTGGTTTCCTTGACGATATCAAGCAAGTAGAGTACAACACCATGACTCACCAATGCCTCAACAGCCTTGGAATGCTTAGCGAGCAACACAAGTAGTGACACCAACTCATCAACCATGACCTTGTCAACAATCTTTCCAAGAATAACCTGCACTGCACCCTCTCTCACAGTCCTCGCTTTATTCTCACAGGCCAAACACAATTTGAACAAAGCTGAAGCAGCGTCATTCATGCTTAAAGGATGCCCCTCGTCTAGCAAGTCCACTAGATACTTTATAGCTTCAGATTTTCCAAGTATGTGTCTGTTTGAGTAAATAGATGACATTGAAAACACCTCTGCAGTTGCATTGCTTCTTGTTTGGACTGTTCCCATTTTCAACGAATCAACAATCAGGGAAACCACTTTTTCGTTTTTAGCTAACGCTCTTTTGTTGTCGTCGTGAATTGAGAGGTTTAGGAGAGTTGTGATCAAGTCCTCGTGGAGCTCGAGCTCCACGGAAGGCGTGCCGGGGGATAACGGACTCAGCAAAAGGTGAATCGCTTCTGCATCGGCAAAAAGCATTCGGAACGCAGGGCTTTGCTTTTCTAACTAGCAAAGGTCTTTTACGACTTTTTTTTTGCTCGGGAAGGGAGAGAAAGAGCTTGTAGAGTAAGGAACGCATACGGTGTCTGTGTGCGTTGGTGACTCGGTCGTCGTGGATTTCATCCCAAACGGCTTTGATGGGTCAACATTGTGGTCTTTGCACCACTTGCAAATCATGCCTTGGAGCAAGCAATTCGGAGTGAGGATGCAGTGAGAGAGGACTTGCTGGGTCTCATGGAGAAAATTCTAGAGATATCTATTTCTAGAGTTTTCTATCTAATTATCTACATGATTCTAGAATTTGTATCTAGTAGTTACTAGCATACCTATGTATTTTTCTATAAGAATCTAGATTATTCTAGAAGTTTTATCATATTTTAACATTTTCTCTCTATGATTGCAACACACCGTGCACAGAATCCCAACACAATTTTCCTTGACGCGTTCTGACGTGGTTTCCTTGACGATATCAAGCAAGTAGAGTACAACACCATGACTCACCAATGCCTCAACAGCCTTGGAATGCTTAGCGAGCAACACAAGTAGTGACACCAACTCATCAACCATGACCTTGTCAACAATCTTTCCAAGAATAACCTGCACTGCACCCTCTCTCACAGTCCTCGCTTTATTCTCACAGGCCAAACACAATTTGAACAAAGCTGAAGCAGCGTCATTCATGCTTAAAGGATGCCCCTCGTCTAGCAAGTCCACTAGATACTTTATAGCTTCAGATTTTCCAAGTATGTGTCTGTTTGAGTAAATAGATGACATTGAAAACACCTCTGCAGTTGCATTGCTTCTTGTTTGGACTGTTCCCATTTTCAACGAATCAACAATCAGGGAAACCACTTTTTCGTTTTTAGCTAACGCTCTTTTGTTGTCGTCGTGAATTGAGAGGTTTAGGAGAGTTGTGATCAAGTCCTCGTGGAGCTCGAGCTCCACGGAAGGCGTGCCGGGGGATAACGGACTCAGCAAAAGGTGAATCGCTTCTGCATCGGCAAAAAGCATTCGGAACGCAGGGCTTTGCTTTTCTAACTAGCAAAGGTCTTTTACGACTTTTTTTTTGCTCGGGAAGGGAGAGAAAGAGCTTGTAGAGTAAGGAACGCATACGGTGTCTGTGTGCGTTGGTGACTCGGTCGTCGTGGATTTCATCCCAAACGGCTTTGATGGGTCAACATTGTGGTCTTTGCACCACTTGCAAATCATGCCTTGGAGCAAGCAATTCGGAGTGAGGATGCAGTGAGAGAGGACTTGCTGGGTCTCATGGAAAATTCTATGGACCTCGTTTAACCACCTCTCAATCAATGCTCGATCAAAACTCTGCACCATCATAATCAACACATTAATTTATAACGTCATTTGGACACAAATTTAGAAAAGAAATTAAGTTTTTTTATTAACAAATATTCTTTAATTTTAGGAGAAAAGTTATATAGATTGTATCTAAATAGACTGTTTAGTTGTATAGTACAACAATGAGGATCAAAGTAACATGGAAATGAGAACCGAAATAACATGCATTACCGTTTCTCCCTTCCACCCATCATGTGAAAAATTCTTTGGGCAATTAAACCCTAGAATTGACATATATATCTGGACACCTTATATTCTATTTGTTGTGCACCGGGGATTACCTCACATATATACATGTATCCACATTGGTGAGATATTGTCCGTTTTGGACCCAAGCCCTCACGGTTTTGCTTTTGTACATCACCCAAAAGGTCTCTCAACCAAATTCACATTGGTAAGATATTATCCGTTTTGGGTCTAAGCCCTCACGGTTTTGCTTTTGGACATCACCCAAAAGGTCTCTCAACCAATGGAGATAATTGCGTGTATATAAACCCTAGAATTGACATATATATTTGGACACGCCCTACATTCTATCTGTTGTGCATGGGGGATTACCACATATATACACGTATCCACATTGGAGAGATATTTTCCATTTTGGGCCCAAGTCCTCACAGTTTTACTTTTGGACATCACCTAAAAGGCCTCTCAACCAAATCCACATTGGTAAGATATTGTCCATTTTGGGCCCAAGAATAACCTTGTCAACGATCTTCCCAAAAATAACCTGCACTGTAACCTCTCTCACAGTCCTCGCTTTATTATCATAGGCCAAACACAGTTTGAACAAAGCTGAAGCAGCGTCATTCATGCTTAAAGGATGTCCCTCATCTAACAACTCCACTAAATACTTTATAGCTCCAGATTTTCCAAGTATGTGTATGTTTGAGTCAATAGCTGACATTGAAAAAATTGTTGCAGCTGCATTGCTTCTTGTTTAGACTGTTCCCATTTTCAACGAATCAACAATCAGGGAAACCACTTTTTCATTCTCGGCTAACGCTCTTTTGTTGTCGTCGTGAATTTAGAGGGTTAGGAGAGTTGTGATCAAGTCCTCGTGGAGCTCGGGCTCCATGGAAGGCGTGCCAGGGGATAACGGACTCAGCAAAAGGTGAATTGCTTTTGCGTCGGCAAAAAGCGTTCGGAACGCAGGGCTTTGCTTTGCTAACTAGCAAAGGTCTTTTGCGGCTCTTTTTTGCTCTGGAAGGGAGAGGGAGAACTTGTAGAGTAAGGAACACATACGGTGTCTGTGTGCGTTGGTGACTCAGTCGTAGTGGATTTCATCCCAAACAGGCTTTGGTGGGTCAACGTTGTGGTCTTTGCACCACTTGCAAATAATGCCTTGGAGCAAGCAATTCAGAGTGAGGATGCAATGAGAGAGGACTTCTTGGGTCTAAGCGCAAATTCTATTGACCTCGTTTAACCACCTCTCAATCAATGCTCGATCAAAACGCTGCACCATCATAATCAAACAGATTGTTTAGTTGTGTAGTACAACAATGAGGATCAAAGTAACATGAAAATGAGAACCGAAATAATATGCATTACCGTTTCTCCCTTCCACCCATCATGTGGAAAATTCTTTGGGCAATTAAACCCTAGAATTGACATATATATCTGGACACCTTATATTCTATTTGTTGTGCACCGGGGATTACCTCACATATATACATGTATCCACATTGGTGAGATATTGTCCGTTTTGGACCCAAGCCCTCACGGTTTTGCTTTTGTACATCACCCAAAAGGTCTCTCAACCAAATCCACATTGGTGAGATATTGTCCTTTTTGGGCCCAAGCTCTCACGATTTTACTTTTGGACATCACCTGAAAGGTCTCTCAACCAATGGAGATAATTACATATATAAACCCTAGAATTGACATATATATTTGGACACCCTACATTCTATCTATTGTGCACAGGGGATTACCACACATATACACATGTATCCACATTGGTGAGATATTGTCCGTTTTGAGCCCAAGTCCTCACAGTTTTACTTTTGGACATCACCTAAAAGGCCTCTCAACCAAATCCACATTGGTAAGATATTTTCCGTTTTGGGTCCAAGAATAACCTTGTCAACGATATTTCCAAGAATAACCTGCACTGCACTCTCTCACACAGTCCTCGCTTTATTCTCATAGGCCAAACACAGTTTGAACAAAGCTGAAGCAGCATCATTCATGCTTAAAGGATGCCCCTCGTCTAACAACTCCACTAGATACTTTATAGCTCCATATTTTCCAGTATGTGTCTGTTTGAGTCAATAGCTGACATTGAAAAAACCGCTGCAACTAAATTGCTTCTTGTTTGGACTGTTCTCATTTTCAACGAATCAACAATCAGGGAAACCACTTTTTCATTCTTGGCTAACGCTCTTTTGTTGTTGTCGTGAATTGATAGGTTTAGGAGAGTTGTGATCAAGTCCTTGTGGAGCTCGGGCTCCACGGAAGGCGTGCCGGGGATAATGGACTCAGCAAAAGGTGAATCGCTTCTGCGTCGGCAAAAAGCGTTTGGAACGCAAGACTTTGCTTTGCTAACTGGCAAAGGTCTTTTGCGTCTTTTTTGGTCTGGAAGGGAGAGGGAGAGCTTGTAGAGTAAGGAACGCATACGGTGTTTGTGTGCGTTGGTGACTCGGTCGTCATGGATTTCATCCCAAAAGGGCTTTGGTGGGTCAACGTTGTGGTCTTTGCACCACTTGCAAATAATTCCTTGGAGCAAGCAATTCAGAGTGAGGATGCAATGAGAGAGGACTTGTTGGGTCTAAGGGCAAATTCTATGGACCTCGTTTAACCACCTCTCAATCAATGCTCGATTAAAACTCTGCACCATCATAATCAACACATTAATTTATAACGTCATTTGGACACAAATTTAGAAAAGAAATTAAGTTTTTTTATTAACAAATATTCTTTAATTTTAGGAGAAAAGTTATATAGATTGTATCTAAACAGATTGTTTAGTTGTGTAGTACAACAATGAGGATCAAAGTAACATGGAAATGAGAACCGAAATAACATGCATTACCGTTTCTCCCTTCCACCCATCATGTGGAAAATTCTTTGGGCAATTAAACCCTAGAATTGACATATATATCTGGACACCTTATATTCTATTTGTTGTGCACCGGGGATTACCTCACATATATACATGTATCCACATTAGTGAGATATTGTCCGTTTTGGGCCCAAGCCCTCACGGTTTTACTTTTGGACATCACCCAAAAGGCCTCTCAACCAATGGAGACAATTGCGTGTATATAAACCTTAGAATTAACATATATATTTGGACACCCTACATTCTATCTGTTGTGCACTAGGAATTATCACACATACACATGTATCCACATTGGTGAGATATTGTCCGTTTTGGGCCCAAGTTCTCACGGTTTTACTTTTGTACATCACCTAAAAGGCTTCTCAACCAAATCCACATTAGTAAGATATTTGTTCACTATCCCTGATGATTGTAGGGTTATCTCTGTCTACCGGCACATTGGCAATTTTAGGGTTTTACCTTGTGATTGCGGCGCGGTGACAAGATTGTATTTTTATCCTTCTAATGACGTGGCCTCTTTGGGCTGTTGTGATACTCTGATGTCTATGTTTCTTGGCCGAGCTTAGTAGCTTGGTAATAACGAGTTCACTACTTGGTCAAGTCGGTAAACCTTTAACCGAGTTTGACAACTTGGTAAGGGATGAGTTCAATACTTGGTTAGGCCAGTACACTTGCCCCCCAAGCACCAAGTAATGCAAGAGCGAATGGGCTTCTGATGAGCTCCCAAGTTCGCTATTTAGTCAGGTCGGTAAACCTTTGGCCGAGTTTGGCAACTTGGTAAGGGACAAGCTCGGTACTTGGCTAGGCCAGTACACTTGCCCCCAAGCACCGAGTAATGTAAGAGCGAAAGGGCTTCTGAGAAGCTCTCAAGGGGTGTAATGATCCCGTGTGTCGTTTGAGCAGGGAGGTGTCCCTTCATTTTTGTAACGTCACCTTTCAAATGTTATTCTTGAGGAGGCACGCATTTCGTTGCTCGGGAAACGGCGGCTCCTCATTAATGACGCATCACGTCCTTTTATGACAAGTTGTGCCCCTTCATTATGGGTGTTATTTAATGCAGTGGGAGGGCCCACGTTTTTGCTTTACTCCTTTTGTTTACCCCACGACCATTTTCCATTTTCCCTTGTTGGTGTTTTCTTCCTTTGCTCTTCTTTGCCATTTCTGGTGCCTTTGCTGATTCGCTCTACTCCTCCTTTGATATCAAGGTACTGACTTTTTGTACCATTTTTCGCTCTTCTTTTCTCATTTACTTGAGAGTTGCGTGTCATGGAGGGTGGTCGTGCTAGGGGAAAGCGAAAGGTTAGAGGGGAGGATGAGGGTAACAAAAGGAAATGAGGTGGGAATAATAGGAAGGATTCTCACCCTTTTATATTTATCCCTGGGTATGAGTGGGTAAGGGGAGATGTCGGCAAGTTCGAGAGTAGATTCTCATCCCCGTCATTGATTAGTTCGCTTCGTAAAGAGCTGTCCATTTGCGCATCCTCTATGGCCGATCTCATCAGGGTCAAGCACTGCCAACCTAATGAGTGCGTGTTCTTGTCAGGTCCCTCCCTATTTTTTTACATGTACCGATGCCTCTTTAGGGATCCCAGCGTTTCGGTTCCCTTTACCCCATTCGAGTGCTCATTTCTCAGCCACGTCAACATTGCCCCAAGCCAACTTCATCCAAATAGCTGGGGCTTTCTCTAAGCTTTCCAAGTTTTGTGCTCGGTATTAGGAATAAAGGCTTCGTTGGCCAAGTTCATGCATTTTTATCAGTTGAAGTTGGGGGACCCTCCTTTAGGTTGGGTGTCTTTGAGTGGCAGTAAGAAAGAAATATTGTTCCAACTATTCTCTTTGTCCTATAAGAATTTTAAGAAAGATTACTTTAAGATCCACCCTGTCAATACTGATGTGTCATCTGAGCATCTCTTCCATCTTGATGGGGAGCCAAAGTTCCCTCTTTTCTGGCAGCGGAACCCCAATAAGTTTGTTGGCTCTACTGGTTTTATTCTATCTACCACTGATTAGAAGGACATAGACAAGCTGCAATCTCTTCCTCGACCTTTGGATAGTAGGGTTGTTATATCCCTTCTGATCGGAGCCGTATCCGGTCAAATAAATACAATTAACTGTAGTACTAGGAAGTGACTCCTAGGTCGTCTCCCAAGGACTGTCTTTTACTGTTAAAGGCTTGAACACACAGGGGGGGTTTGTTTTCAGATTTTTAGTTTGAAACACAATAATTACGAAATAAAACAGTAAGTAAAACAGATTGGTTCCTTGTTCAGATTGCAATTCTTTTATCCCTGGTTCTGAAAAGATTTCTCTGTTCATGAACTTAATCCTTGTTCCATCCGAGTTAACCAACTAGGCGGAGATTAACTCAAGATTTCCCTACACGAATTAAGCAAACGTATACAACATTAAACCTCCCCACAAGATTAAGCAACTTGTGAGCCACCTGATTCATTAAGCATGAACAGGTATGAAAAACGTTTCAGAGGTTCAATGAAGAAGAACCAAGCAGAACACCCATTCAAAACAAATAAAACCTCAAATAGATATTGCAATCTGCTCAAGGAACCAACCCAGTAGTTCTTAGCCTTCCATTAAAATACAGAAACGAAAATGACAGAGAAGGAAAACGAGAATGGCAGAGAAGGAAAACGAAATGAGTAATTTGTATTTCAAATGAAAATGGAGTCTCACATTACAAGAAGCAAAACGTAAAAACAAAATGAAGAGCAGCCAGCCAGAACCAACAAGAAGCAAAACGTAAAAAGGAAGAAGAAAACCACAGGGAAGCAAAAACGTTCCAGCTAGAACAAGAGAGAAAAACGTGAGAGCCACTCCTGGAGACA